TGGTTCAACGCATATTTCCTCATTGTTTGAAAATGCCTGGTTTGTTAATCTTTACAAATTTTTTTTTATTGCCAGTGCTGCTAAACTTATTGTTGCGCTGCTGCTCCAACTATAATTTTAGTCGTTGGTATAAAATTTGTTTTTGACTTGTTTTGCTTTTGCTGTTGCTATTACTATTATTGCTAATGCTCTTGTTTTTGTAGTGAACGTAAAGTATTTGTTATATACAGTTTTTGTTGTTGCATTGAACTTTTTCATTTTATGCATAACAATTATTTCATTTCTTTGTTGAAATTGCTGTTTGTTTTGTTGGCCATTTTGATTTTTTCATTCCCATTTCCATGATAATCAACATAGAAATTAAATATTTAGCCATCGCCAACATCTTAATAATCAACAGCGTATTCTGGCGTATGCAGCTCACTTATGCGACATTTGGCTATTCTGGCAGCGTGCCAAGGCGGTGTCATGCTAAAAGAGGCAGAAAGAGAGAGAGAGAGAGAGATAAAAATTAAAATAAGTGTTGTGAGTAAAATGTGCTATTAATAAATTATATTTTTTATTATTTTTTGCCATATAAATATGTATGTATGTGTAGTTAAATAGCTATGAAATTTTCATAAAAAGACAGCATATAAAATTTCGGATGGATACTCCATACTTTCCAAAACAACTGTTTACGATTACAGTTAGTGTGAAGGTCAATTGCTTATAAGTTGATAACAGCTAAAATTTTGGCAAAGAAATTTTCAAAAATTAATACATTTTTTATGTATTAAATATTGCAGGAAATAGAATTTTAAGAAAATAATTGATTCCGGCGCTATCTATTGATATTTTTTCGGTCGAGAAATTAGTGAACCAAATTGGACAGTTAACACTATTCTTTGGAAGAACTTGACATCAGCGCCACATACCTGCTTTCTGAGAGCACTCTTCAACCAACCGACTACCCGAGTAGTGGAGCCATAGGGCCATGCTGCAATCGGGCGCAACGCAAGCCATAAGGGACCGTTATAGGAAACTGAAGATTGAAGGGAGACGTTTTTACCGTACTAAGAAGAGAGAGACCGAAATACGTGTGTACGAAGAGCTAGCAATGCTGACCGACAGGAAAAATACCCAAAAATTTTATCAGAGAGTTAGGCGACTTACGCGTGGTTTCAAGACCAGGGAGAACTCCTGTAAGAATAATAATGGCGACCGATGTCCAGAACGTACTTAAATTATGGAGGG